ACACACACACACACACACACACACACACACACACACACACACACACACACACACACACACACACACACACACACACACACACACACCGCGCTCCGAGGTACTGTGCCCATCGCGCTGCCGGGAGCCCCGGAGCCCGAAGTAAAGCAGCAGAGCTGGCGGGCCCTTCTTCTCAGACTGCGGGCTCCGTCCGGGTCCGTGGCAGCTTGAGACTGAGCCGTCCGCTTCATTTTCGTTCTGTCCCGGCTCGGCATCCTCCCCCCTGGGCCCAGCCTTGTTCCCTCCGGCGTGAATAATACACCGGGCAAGCCTGTGATCGATCGGCAGCCGAAAAGACAACTCCTGGGACGATTACGCACTCCGCGGCGGCCGCCTGCCGCCCTCTCCTCTGCCTGCTCCGCGCCTCCTCCGCTCGCCTCGGCTCCCTCTGCTCCCGCTTCCGCTCAAGGCATTCAACTGTCGCTTTTGCGCGGGCCCCTTTCCCTGGCCTCACTTCCCGCCGCGCTTAAAGTTCCCTGGATCGGAGACTACGATCCTCCCACCGGGTTAGCGCCCAAGCCCGCTGGGAAGCAGCCACGAGTTGAGCCTGGGTTCCTGGTGGGGACTTAGAGAAGGAAGCACAGGCCGCTTCCCACCGACCTTAAAGTGGGGCTCCCAGGGAGCTGGGGCTCCCAGGGGTCTCAGGCTCCAGGGCCCAATGATGGAAGGGGAATAGGCAGCTTAGAGCTAGACCCTGGGCTGAGCGCCTGTTCCAGCCTTGGAACCTTGGCCTGGACTCTGGGTCTGTGGCAGAAGTGGGAGTGGAGGGAGACAGAACGGCCATTCCGCTCTGGGCATCCAGAAAGGGCCCTGTACTCAGGGGACCCCAGTGCCCCAACCCAAGTCCTCTCAGGCCTGAGGGGGCAGAGCCTAGTGCCCCATTCCCCTACCCCCACCCAGGCCAGGCTACTCGTAAAGGGCTTTGATGGAAGCCCCCAGTCTGAAGCCCAGTGGGCCTGTATCTCTGGCAGAAAGGTACTCCACATAGCCCACCTAGGGTAGCCACAGCCTGCCTTAATCTTGCTTCAGGCCTGAAGGTTCTGAGGGAGAATATGGCTGTCCCCTTGTGTCAGTCGAGTTGTCCATCTGCCTGTGTGTCTGTTTGGGTGTATAGCCCTATAAGTTGCCCCTGTTGTATATGATGTGTCTGTGTGTGTTGCTGTGTGATGGAGCCCCAGGGCAGGCCCTGCAGTCCAAGGTCTTGACCATGGACGGCCTCTTACTGTTGAGTAACTTCTCTGAGGCTGGAGGCCTGGGGCTGTGGGGTGCTGTGACCTTTAACTGGCCTCAGACATGCCCTCCAGGAGATTGCGGCTGTGTCTGGTGGGCTCGTGGGAGCCCGGGGCTTGGGAGGCCTCCGTGGTGGCAGCTGCGACGGCCTGGAGTGAGGGTGGGGGCCATTTCAGGACACGGGCTTGGAGCCGAGGCTGACGGGAGGATCACAGCCCTGCTCTTGGGGTCTAGTTGCTGCGCTCGCTGACTCGCGGGGTGTCGGGCCTGGGACGCCTCCTGACGCTCTGCCGCTTGCCTCTGCCGTCTGTCTGTCTCCCGCTCCAGTGGCCCTCTCACCCTTCACTGTAACACGCCGTATAGGTCACCCCTATCAGAATCGGACGCCCCCCAAGAAGAAGAAGCCGCGCACGTCCTTCACGCGCCTGCAGATTTGCGAGTTGGAGAAGCGCTTCCACCGCCAGAAGTACCTTGCCTCAGCCGAGCGCGCCGCCCTGGCCAAGGCGCTCAAAATGACCGACGCGCAGGTCAAAACCTGGTTCCAGAATCGGCGGACGAAGTGGAGGTGAGCGCGCGGGGCGGGCGCGGGCGCGGTAGGCGCAGTCTCCAGCTCGGGGGGGGGGTCCTCTCTTGGGGTGTTCACAGTCCCTCGCTCGCCGCTTTCTGATGGCTCTGGGGCCGCTCTGCTAGGCTCGTAGGGAGCGGGAAGCTACCGTGGCCGATGACACAATGGGGCTGGAGGGCCCCGGCTGTTTTGCTTTCCGGCTTTCTTTGCCGCTGTAGACGCGACTGGTCTCCGCCGCTGCTTGGGGGAAACGCCTGGGTTTGAGCGCATTCAGCACATCCCGGGCTTCCGAGATGAGTGAGTCTTGAGGGACTTTGCACAAACTCATGTGTACAGAGATTCCTTCTCTATCCCGGAGACTGGAGGCAGGATGGGACGCGCCTTGTTTCTGCGCCCCAGCCGGGGCTCCCGTTAGAGCGTCTGGGGCCTCAAACCACCGGCCTGGGCCCTGCTGACACCCTCTTCCCCCAGACGTCTGGCCTCGGCGCAGCGGGTCCCCCACTCAGGAAGGGGAAAATCAAT